AAATAATTGTTATATTTTTTTAATATCTACCGATATCTGATTTATTAATAGACTAATCTGAATTGGGTATTATAAAGGTGAGGGCAACCCTCCCAATCCAATTTATCCTATTCACAAACGTCAAGATTTATAATTGTTATATTTTTAACCAAATAAATATTTTTTAAAATTATAATTAATTTATAATATTTATTTAAGATATTGTTGTACTCCAAATTAGGGTCTAAAATTTTCTTAAAACTTATTATGATGACTAAATTGAAATTGTAACTAAATTCAGGAACTATAGTGAAATTTTGATTAAATTTATATCCAAATTAATAAAGCAACTAAAATTAGAGAACCTATAGTATAATTATACCATTTTTAAATGTGGGTTTAAAAGCCCAAAAAATCAGAAATTTTCCATTTTAGAAAGTTTAAACCCTTCTTCTCTCTCTTCAACCTTTCCTCTTTTAGTAGAAAATTTTTAATCGACGTTTCGTCACCGACCGTTGTTCATTTTTTATACCTCCCACACCATCGTGTTCTTTGTGTCATCTCGAGTCCATCGGTGTCAATTTTGTCTCTGTTACCGCCGACGTGTAAGGGGGTGACGAAGGTCAAGTTTCACATGTTGTGAAATCAAACTCTCTGTCATTCATCACTGTGAACCGAGCTTGGTAAGTGTCTCAAAACCCCCTTAAAAGGCATATAGGATTTTTTCCATATTTTTTTCAAACTCCGAAGCCCCGCACGCGCCCCACACGTCTCCGCTACGTGTGGGGAATATTCACCTCCTGGTGGGCTATAGAAGCGACCCAACTCGACCCACCTACCCGACTTGACCCACATGCCATACCCGTTCCGACCCAACCCGATCCAACTCGAACTGAATCGGTCAGCCGTTGATCGTTGATCGTAGTTGACTTTTTTTTCGAAAACCTACATCTTGATTTTTTCGATGTCATGAGTCTAATTTTGCGATCCGCTTTGCCAAATTATGACTCGAAAGCCTTAAATCGAGCCCGCTAATCCAAAAATGCTTAGAATTTTTAGCAATTTTGCTTATTTATTTGATATTTGATTATGGAATAGATTCGAGTATATATTTTTATGAAGCTACTCGTGTTTCCCCTGATCGATGGTCAATTAGATCTGGTGCTTCCCTTCCTTCAGGTCCGTTCGATCTGCGTTCCTCGAGAGTTACTCATAAGTTTTTGTAAATTATTTAAATAGAGGTTATTATTATTCAAATTAGGATTCAGATATAGATTTTTCAATTCATATAATTTAGGGTTGCCGCTGATTGTGATCGATAGACTCTGTAGTAGGCTTCCTTATTAGACTACTCAGACCGGTACATGTGTGTTTCCTAATGGTGTTACATTACTGTTTTAAACTATTTATCTAAAATGTTTTAGATTTCTGATGATACTGAATATTTTTACGACATCATACATGATTTTCTGAATAATATTTATCTGATATCTGATTTACTGTATATTTCTGATATGATCTCTGGTTATTGTATTTTTGTATCTGATTTATGATTATAGTATATTTTCATGTTTTAATGGATTAAACTTCCATATTAAACTACCCACAAAAATACAATGTTCGAACAATGCAAAAAAATACTGTGCAGATTCAAAAATACTATGCAGATTCGAACAGTGCAGAAAAATACAATGCAGTTTGATTCGAACAGTGCACAAAGCAATGCCAAAAATTAGAAAATGTTCTAACAGAAAAAAGGCATTTTGATTCACACAGTGCAGTGAAGAAAAAACAGCAGATTCAAATAAAAAACAAAAGAGAAAAATTTGAAAAAAAAGAGAGTTTGTTGTTTATATTTGCTAGCTTCCTTTAGAATAAATTTGGAATGAACTTCTTTTTTTCTGAAACTTAAACCCCATTTTTGACATTTATCCTACTCAAACCTTAGCCACGTTACAACTCAGTTTAAACACCTCTTGACTTTTTCATCATATTTATTTTTAAGTAATGGAGATTGGATAAATTACAAGCCTATGGTAATGCTTTAGCTTGTTTGGATTGAGCGTTTCGTTGCCCTTAAACACTTTGAGCAGAATGAGTGAATCTTTTGTGAGGGTATCGAGTCTTTCATCACGAGATTAGTGAATTTTTGGACAGTCTTGTCTTGCCTTAATTTATTTCCTAGTTTTGTCACTTGCTTGATTGTTTTCTAGTTTTAATTAATTGCTTTGATTTTGGTTCATTGGGATGGTTAGAGCATGATGTAAATTGGAGAATGGCAACTTGTAATTTTGGTATGTTGATTGAAAAATGCTTGAGGACAAGCATCAGATAAGTAGGGGGAATTTGACTAGTGTTTATTTTGTGTTATATTTTATGTTTAAATACTCCTCAATAGTTAATTATTATTGTTAATTTGAGTATTTTTACATGCATGATTTCTGTACAGGACAATGATTTTTGGAAAATGTGCTTAAAATGCCTGAAAACTGCATTTTTTGTTTTGGAATCAAGATTGGAACAATGGACATGAATATGGGCCTGAAAAGACTGACGTGGCAATTTGTTAGCAGTTTCTAAAAGGTCTAGTCAACAGCTTTCAAAAGATTCAGTCAGCAATTCTAGAAGGAGGACGGACGACTAAAGCATTTGAATTTCAAGTTTTTAGAATTATCTTTTTATTTGTTGGGATTTATTTTTAAGAAATTATCTTTTAGGATTTTTTAATGTAATTTTAGGGTTTTCAGAGACTAAATACCCATCGGGGTAAGCCTGAAATCTCATCCCTTGTTCACCAAACATTTCTTATCTCTTTTTCTTTTCTTTAGTTTTATAAAATATTTTTCTTTTTACTTTCGCTCTTTGTTTTTCTTTTTAAGCTTTCTTATTTTTAAAATGTTGAGTATGATTTCTATCATGACCAGTTAAGTTTTTCTTAGCTAAAGGTTGAAACGATGACTCAATTCCTATCATGAGAACTGAAAAGCACCTCATACCCTTTGGGTTAAATTTCTTTATTTTCTGGAAACTAGATTGACGGATCGTCTTTCTTAAGATCAAGATACATTCACTTCAAAAATAGAGTTTGAATTGGATGTTGTTAAGACTTATCATTAGGATTATATAATCAATTGATTCGAATTCCCTAGAACACATTTTAGCGATAGATACTAAGTGGAGATTGAGAATGAGTTCGACTTTTATAGAAGAAGCATAATTCGAGTTGGGAATTTTCTAAAAGTGCTTTGAACTGTTTTTATTTAACTTTGATGTGAAAAAAGATTGAGGACACCAAAATAGATTTCGAGAAAATCAATCACTTAAGGGAAATTGAGCTACAAGGATTGACCTTGCAGACACACACTGATATTTAACCGGAGTAAAATCCTATTCAGGGATTGATTGGAATTCGAGGCAAAGTGAAAGCCCGAAGATGATTTTATTATTTAATTTTATTTTGATTACTTTCTTCCATTTTTACTTTCAATTACTCTCTAAATAACAACCCCTGTTTTATTTTTCATCACAAGATCTCCTAATCCTAAAAAAAATCAATTCATCGGCAACTATGATATTCCCTATGGATCAACCCTTACTTTCTTTATTCTACTTATTTCTATTTTATTTTTTTATTGAGATTAAGGCATATTTTATTTGGCAATAGAAACAACGCGTTGTCACTCAAAAATAGTTAACGGACTTTAAGGGCTAAAATGAACACCATAGACAACTTAGAGGGCTAAATTGATGTAAAAAATTTATGGAGGAAAATGATCAATTGAGTTTACTACAGGGGCAACAGTGACCCTTAAGCCATTAAAATATTACAAATATTTATAATTAAATTTAAACATAAACTCGAATAACTTGACTAAAAAATTTTCAAATCGATTTTAAATTATAAAATATGACTCGTCAACTAAAATAACTCAAAAAAATTTGCTCGATCAAATGCTAACCCTAAAATATCATAACAATCTCTTGATTGTTCGATTTCACGTCAAGTGTCTCAATAAGTTAAACAAGTAGGGTGAACCAATCATGGATATGATCTCTTAATTAGAGGTTTTAAAATTTACTCGACTTGACATACTTGACTCATTGACCCTCAAATCCGAATAAAAATCATCAAATATTTTCCTTCAAAATATCCAAATTCTCAGGTTGTGTACCAGGTCCTTTATTTTAATGGGTCACAGGTTGGACCATGGGTCACAATTTTTAGGTTGTCGAATACCCAAGTCATTGGGCCGACGGTCAACTACGAGAGACGAGAGAGGGATCAAATTGATATTTAATTTAAAGTTAAGAGGTTAAAGTAAAAATATTATCTCGTTACTGATGTATAACGTCGTCAAACTAACTCATAATTGACAATTCAGTGACCAAAATATAACAATCGATAATGTAAAACTTTAATAAATCACTACTGTAAGTGATCAAAATGTAACTTTTTCAAAATCGAAAAACAAAAACAAAATGAAAGTCATCGTTATCATAACTTACCTTAAATTTTAAGTTATTGTCAATTTTAACATTAAATCAATTTTAAAACTAATCAATTTGGCCTCACGATTTCACTGTAATTTCATCCCTATTGATACCTGATATAAGATCAGTTTTTTTTTCTTCAAATAAAAACCATACCAGCTTTTGCGGTTCTTATTGTACCTACGATTGCGTTAGTATGGTTAAACAATTTGACGCCATGATTTCATCTTATTGATATAAAACAACAATTTTTTTAATTCAAATGTAACACTTACCAACTTTTGCGGCTCTCGTAGTACCTTTGTTTGTTTGTTTGTTCGGGTTCTTGACTACCATTCCTAATAAGTCTTTAAAATCCAAACTTGAGATCTCTTTAAGAATGTGATGTCTTATCACACGTTAAATATTTGTCGGCACTCCATGTGAGATGTTAAATATTATAGAAGGGATTTTGTTTTGAAGATGGTCCATGAACTGAGGAAGACTCAAGGTCCCACTCCTATGATGGATAACATGCATTGCTTTAACCTGGTTTTCCTATTAGTTATTGAAGGGATACATCACCTTCTACCTGTGTGAGTTCAGCACATCTAAATGCGTGGTAGATTGATTATTGAATCCATAGAAGAAATCTCAGACAACTTATAGACCATTCTTGGAGTTACCAATGTAACGATGCTAATCGAAAAACAAAGAGAAAAAAAAACTATGAACAACCTCCATTGAAAAATCTGCCTACAGATAGTCTTGTTGATCTTGATCTCTGAGAATGATTGCGCTTTAAACCAATGTTTGAGCAATAGAGGCATTTCTGCAGGTGCAGGATCTTGTTCTCACTCTTTAAGTGCTCAAGTTTCATCCGTAACCGATTGATGGTTTCTCGCTTTTCCTCATTCCTTCTTAATAGTTCTGCTTGCTGCCGCAGAGTCTCTTCCATAAGCTCTGTAACTCCAAACCATGTATTCACCTTTTGAAACTCCACAACTTCCTCTCCATCCGAAAATTCTCGGTTAATTTTTTCTTCAGATTTTCTCATGAAAGCCATATTGCAATGTTCCGTTAATACCAGATCATCTGCTAACTTGTTCAGATGTTCGAAGTCGGATCTATAATGTTCATGATCATAATCATCAAGGACGGATTCGTGGCAAGTATCGGAATCTTCCCATATAGGATCATTAGAGGCCTGTAGGACCCTTCTTTGATCGATGGCCTGTTGGATTTCTGTTGAGTTAGAGGACAATGATGAAGACCCAGAATGAGGTAGATTTCGAGATTTCGACCTCAACTGGTCATGCTTATGTGCTAAAGAACAGTATGATCTGTTTAACTCTGACAACATTTTTACGAGTTCTTGTTTCCAGTCGTTAGAACCATCGAAGTTTTGGGATGAAGGTTTAGATTCATCAGATTCCTGAAGTAGGGTCATCATGGCTTTCATTTTCTTGTCCAAATCTGCAAAATGATTGATAAAGGAGATCAAATAAGGAAAGCAAGTCACCTATGCATAGAGTTAGAGGATTTGAATGTAACTCCACCAATACTATATTATGAAATTTTGAACGACACTTGGCAAGGCACATTGTCAATAAACTTGAAAAGTAAAACAGATATGAATTACAATAAAAAAATATTATGAATTTTGAGCATCCGTAATGGACTCTCCAATAAACTTTCATGAGACAAACATGAAACTTTCTGCTAACAGACAATAATTTGCGGGTGGGAGTGCAGTACTACTGGAATGGCAACAGCGGTGACATTCTTTGTTTTTCCAATCGACAAAATTCGAAATTAAAAGAGGACATTTTTTTAAGTTTTTTTGGGTACAGTTTGATCTAAATCCGACTAAGTTCGAATCTATTTTTTGTTAATTGAAAACTTGCCCTGTCAAACTCAATTTTGAAAAGTTCCCAACTGAAACTGGGTCAGAATCATCGGATTTAGATTATTTTACCAAGATAAATAGATGAATACGTACTATGATGTAACCTGCAAATGTGAAATAAGAACAATGATGTGAAGGTAGAGCTTAGTTGTCTCCCTTTCTGCCATGTGCATTTGTATGGTTATATCTCAATTTGATCAGAAGATTAAAAAACAAGTGTACTTTTGGGTGTTTTGATTATATCTCAATTTGATAAAAGGTTATGCAAGAACTACCTGTTGTTATCATTCTACCATAGACTGACCTGACAGAGTAATTTGAAGCCATTGGGACTGCTGTGGGATTCCAGATGTTGCGGAAATCTCCATTGAAACGAGAGGATGGCTGTTGTGTTTTAAAAGGAAAAGAAGAGAAGAGAAGATTGGAATGAAAACGGCGATTGTTTGTCGAATTGCGTGGCTTCTTAAAAGGGAAAGGTTGGGATTCTTTTTCAATTTCAAACGCATTCTTTTGTTATTTAATAAATTCTCTGATTCTCCCAATCCCTCACTCTTTCAAATTTCAAAGGGTGATGATATCATCAAACTTTTTTTGGGATTTTATTCTGTTTTTGTCCTATCTTTTATCATAAGCTTTTTTGCTAAATTTTAAATTTAATTATAATTTTATTTAGATATTCTATTGTTGTCGAAAACAGCAAGTAGCTGGTCAAATTGTAAGGGATTTAATATAGCAACCAAGTGGATGGCGTTCACAAAATACGTGAAGAAATTTTCATTGTGACTTATGGGTACCACCAGGGGATGAGCTACCATGTCTTTTCAACCTCCTGCTCCATGCTATGTCTTATTGGTTGCTACAGCTAACTGTAAAATTCGGTGATTCCTAGATGTTTATTATTTTACAAAAATACTAATAATATACACTTATGGATTTTTCACTACCTCAGGTTTTGAAATGAGGCAGGGTCATCCTTCTTACCAACCCAGCATGGTTACGTTTTCTGGACCCCGCCTGGTCATTGTATTAAATTATAAGGGCAATTCAAACTATAGAGAAAATACAAAAGAAAATGTGAAACCTCCGATTCTGTTTTAGCGGTGAGTTTTTGAAATGGTCGGAGGTGCCGTCAGCATGAGCCCATAATGCACAAACGCCAGCCTCTCGGGGGGGGGGGGGGGGAGAAGACCAGACACAAAGGTCCTCGACTGCTAAGATGCTTACCCAGATTGTACAAGGGTCTTGTTCCTCTTTGGGGCCGTCAGATTCCATGTAAGTTTGGCATGCACATTTTTCATGGACAATTACTAGCTTTAGTACTTCCCTTCATTTTTTATTTTATTTCCTTTTTATCTTTTTAACACTCCTTTTGGTGGTCGCTTTAACTAAAACAAAGTGTACGATTATTTAGACATTCCTCCATCCTTTCAGATACCATGATGAAGTTTGCTTCTTTTGAAACCATTGTTGAGATGATATATAAGTATGGTATTCCCACACCAAAGGACCAATGCAGCAAATCTTTGCAGCTTGGTGTTAGTTTTGCTGGTGGTTACATTGCCGGTGTGTTCTGTGCTATCGTTTCTCATCCTGCTGACAATCTTGTCTGTTTCCTCAACAATGCCAAAGGGGCAACTGTTGGTGATGTAAGTTCTGCAAACCTTGTATAATTATTTTGAGCTTTAATAATTTCAGTTTTCAATAAATTTTACTTTGTATGTTGTCTTTTAATGATGCAGGCTGTGAAGAAGCTTGGTGTGTGGGGTCTATTTACCCGTGGGCTTCCGCCCCGTATTGTGATGATTGGAACACTAACCGGAGCTCAGTGGGGCATATATGATGCTTTCAAAGTGTTTGTGGGACTGTAAGCCATTCTTATTATGGCTATAAAGCATCGTTGTCTCGTTTTTCAGGTGATTAGAGTGAATGCATATGGGTTTCATGTAATCTTTCAGGCCAACCACTGGTGGTGAATGCTTGCCTTATTCCAAATCTCCTTATATATAACAAGTCAAGGTGTAAATAAAATTTATTCAAGATTCTCTCTTGTACCATCTTTACAAAATGTCAATATGTAAAAAAAATTCTGTGATTTGATCAATTACACACTAAAGCTCCATATGAGAATATTTTGATGGGTGATTGGGTGTGTAGATTTTTTTAAAAGCTGCATAAAATTAAGAACAATACAATTAATGTAAAAAAACTAAGAAAATGTCAGTTTAAATAACACTGTAGATAGGATACCAACATCCAGTTTGACTTGATGTTTATTTTATTTCTTTTACATTGCACATTACTATCACTGTAACTGCTGAGATTCGATGCAAAAAGTACAACACTTGAAAAACACCAAAAAAGTGACAAAGTTGGCCCCATCCTTTGAGATTTCATGATGCAGGCTTTTGTTCAACAAAATATTATAAGGGTATCCATGGTGATTATAGTTGATAGAACTCATCAAGGGACAAGTTTTCAACGGAGCCAAAGCTTTCGAGAGGTCCCATCCTTGAATAGTTTGTCATGGATCCATCCAGAAAATCAAGTGGGCAGTCATTTGAGAAGGTCAAGGTGTTGTCATAGATAAATGACAACCCACTATCGTCCATCGTAGGATAGTAATAGCAACTGGATTTACCCACCTCATAATCATGGAGGAACAGGTCATTCACCCCATTTCTAGCTATGTCACTATATACATCTTCGTCCGATGCCTTCTTCGCCTGGATCACCTGAAACACGTTTTTTTTGACCGAATTTAATGAAAGGTTTTTGAGCAATTCTAGAAACCAGATGATTGGTAGATCATACATAGTTTTGATTTTGACTGTCTTGATACAACATGATGAAATCCCCCAGTTGTAATCCATGTGTGCTAACGAATTCCCCTGAGAAATTTAATGCAGTAACTAATGATGAATCATGTTTTCACGAACTAAACGTGTATTTTTTTTTTGTCACTTCTATAAACGGAAAAGGAATTACGAGGGCGGGTCGGTATTTACCAGTATTTTCAAGCACATACATGCGGCTGCTGTTGTTAGGCCAAAACCTGCATACAAAGATGGAAACAAAATGGATTTATCATGCTATTCAAGGACAAAAATCGTTATCAATCTTCCGTTAGATATTTATAACGCGCACACATGAAGACACGTACACACATATCCGACTGAAATTCCATTATATCCCTTATAAGATGAATTCAGGGTGATAAAAGTCTTCTTGCAAGACAAGGAAGAGAGGGAGCAGAGGAGAACTTGCCTATACTTGAAGCTCCATACATGCAGACCATCAAGGTCATCCATGCTGATAAGAATCCCTTCCTTGGACTCGAGGACAGGCAAGTGAGCCTCCGCCGCTCGCTGAAACGATGAGAATATTATATATTTATTCAGACTAATCCCATGAGAGAGCAAAGTTGCATCAAATGAATTCAACTCAGATGTAATGTAGAAACCTTGGGGAGTATCATTCTTCTGAGGGAGCTTACGTCGCTGTTCTTAAGTTCCTTCTGGAAAAGGAATCTCAATCTCTTCGGATCAATAACCTAATAAAACATTATTAATATTTATTTCTCCTCAGAATGATTACTAAAATAGAGTATTGAACCACTGATTATTATCTTTGAGAGACGAACCAGGCAACATAACAAATCCCACCATACAAAACAAAGAATGAAACACAAAAAGCTGTGTCGGAATTCCAAATTTGGGTAAATGAAATAGTACAGGTTCCTAGTCAACTAAATTTAGGAAAATGATTATTACCGTCACCTATATGTATATAATATATGGGTATGGGTATTTATGACAAATTGTTCCGAAGAAATCGATCAGATGTAAAAAAAAATTTATCTGTATCAGTGGATTATCATTTGGAAAATAACGTAGAATCTTACAAACACAATGATTTTGATTTCGTTATCTATGAAATTGGGAAGATCAAAATACCCATCGTTATATATTTGGGAGAAAATAATTCCATACAAATTTAATTAAGAACCTCCTCGTCTGATGTTCAATACCACAAACATATATATATATAACTAAAATTAAGATAAAAACATAGAGTAGTCAGACTTGTTAGAATTAAGAGAAGAGGACTATCTGTACAAGTAGGCCAGGCAAAAGAAAGAAAAAAATATTGAAACTTAGACTAGAGATACAGATAACTCACACGTGTGGGGGGAGGCACGTGCGAAGAGCAACTAGAGGAGGAGTTGGTAAAAGAGAGAAGTTTGATGGTGGAAGATGATCTCCTCTGTCTAGCCATCCTTTTCTTCCTGTTAACACCAAAGCTTGGAACAGCATCGAAAAGGTCACGGGTCAACCCGGATCTACCCGATGACCGACGGGTGTTGTCCACTTCCCCAATGACAAAGGCCTCGTTTTCTCATGAACACTAGTAGTCGTAGCTGCTGCCATCATTAGCTCAATTGGCTGAAAAACCAAAAATAAAAAAGCCTTTAGATTTCCGTGTGTAAGAGAGAGAAAGAGAGAGGCACTGTTTCTCTCTGAGAAACTACCCGATGATGGACGCTCGGCAATCACGAAATGGAGGGTTTTAGGTTAAAGAGAAAGGCAAGGTATATTGGCTTTATGAATTTTATGCTATTTTTAGCAAGGTTATGATGAAGTACATTGACATCTGTTCATCTCACATTCAGGCCCTATGCTTTTTACATCTTTTGTTCCCATTCCGAAACCAAACTTTGATGATGGGTTAAACCTGGGTCTCAGACTTTGAGTTTGAGAAACAATCCCTCCAGCAAAAAAACAAGGCTGGGTTTAGGGTTCTGACGACAAATGTGGATTCCTGGGTGGTGTAAAATCTCTGATGCAAAAGAAATACAACCCCCCAAAAGGGAAAGTAACCATAGTTGAGGGGTTGAAGCTTGAGTTAATGTTGAGAAATGTGAAGGTGTTGGGAGGATAGGGATGGTTAGAGCACCCCCAAGGAATCGTTGACGAGTGGAAGGTCATCACCTTCCATGTGTTGCAAAAGTTCTGCATTTTTGTTGTTGCTTGTAACAGAAATCTATGGCGTTGGGGCTTAATGGGTGGTGAATAATGAGTTTGAAAATTTTAAATTAATTAAGCATTCCTCCTGCATTTCCATGGCAGTGGAAGATGGGAGAAATGGAGAAGTGAATTTCTTTTTCATAGGATTGGATTTAAAGATTAAGGGGGAGGGGTTGGAAGGAGTAAATTTGATGGGTTTGAGCAATGAATATGGGTGGGTTTTGCGTTGGTGAAGAAGAGGCAACAGGTGGGCATGGATTGCCACGTTGCCGCCATGCAAAAGGATGGTGGCTTTTGAAATAGAGATGGAAGGAGAAAAGTAATGGGTTGCAGTAAATGGTATTATTATTTGACCAATGTAATTCCCTTCGCCTTTACGATATTCCAATGGGTTTGGTTTGCCTTTGGTTGGTGCTGCTTTTTACTGACTCTGGATTTCGCTAACTCTGCTAATTTTGTTTTGGGTAAACTACGTATGTAATGCCTAAACTGTCAATTTTGATTCATTTTAATACTTAAACTTTTTATTTTTTTAAAATAATGCTTAACATTTACTTTTCATTTCATTTTAATGATACCTTTAAAAATTTAACGCATTTAGTACATAAACTATTAGATCCGTTTTAAAAATTATTGGTGATGGAATTACTTAAATTATTTTTTTAATCACTTAAATAATTGATTCAATATGAATAGTTAATATTATAAGAATTAAATTGATAATTAAATCAGTCATTATTTGTATTGAATTAGTTGATTCAAAGATAAATAAATAAATAATAATAAGATTAAAACATTATAAATTTAAAGAGCGATTTGAATGAAAAGAGTAATATGTTTTTTTAGTGACAAATACGAACGATGATATGTTCATGTTCTTTCGTTTAATTTTAACCGAACAAATGAACGAACAAGAACAACTAAACGAACAAAATTTATTGCTCGTGTTCGTTCATTAAAAAAATTAGCTTGTTTGAATTCTTTCATATTTGTTCGTTAAAATGATAAACGAATACAAATGAACGAACGTAAATGAACACAAACGAATTAACATAAAATTAATTAGATTTATATTTGAGAATAGTTTCCCCCAAAATTTTAGGATTTATATTTTTTTAATTGATTTGAGTGTTTTTATTTGTTTTAAAGTTAATTAGGTTTAGAATACTAAAGAGTTTAAGGTTAAAATTTAGGTTTTAATATTTTAAACAGTCTATAGAGTGGGTTGAATATAAAAACGAACGAACGAACATAAACGAATGAACAAAAATGAATGAACACAAACAAATGGATTATTGAACGTTCACGAACGTAAGTGAACGAACGAGCCATTTGTTTGTGTTCGTTCATTTAATTAAACAAACACTACAGCAAAACTGGCTTTTTGCGGCCTTTTTTTTACCTATAGCGACGTTTTTAAGCGCCGCAAAAAACACCTGCGGCGCTATGACAAACGCCGCAAAAAGCGCTGCTGAAACTAGCGCGCTAAAGCTTGCGGAGTTTGGTAACAAAAAACGCCGCAATGGGTAACGATATATAGCGGCATTTGTTGTAATAGGTGTTAATATTTAGCAGTGTTTTCCCCAAAAACGCCGCAATAGGTATTGATATTTAGTGGCGTTTTTCACACAAACGCCGTAAAATGCGTATGTATATAGCGGTGTTTTCTTAAACGCCTCAAAAGGTTAAGATATTTCGCGGCATTTTGGATACAAACGCCACTAAAGGTCTGGTATATAGCGGCATTTTTAGGATACAAACGCCGCTAAAGGTCTAGTTTATAGCTGCGTTTTTAGGATACAAACGCCGCAAAATGTAAGGTATATAGCGGCGTTTTTTGTTACAAATGCCGCTAAAGAACACATAAATTAAACTATTTAAATATTTTCTTCGATTACCCCAAATCTATTTTTTTCAATCTGTTCCATTATCCAACAAACATGACATCAATAACATCAAACTCTATATCCATAATAAGCAACATCAAATCTAATATAATAAATAAAAGTTTTTATTAACGTAATATCAGTTAAGTTAAACATGGTTTAGTAACATTAAGAGATTGTTGATAACATAAATGAGACTATGATGGTGGGTTCTGAGGTTGTGTTTTCTGTAACATCTGCATCGTAGCATCGAGTCGTTTTTCAAATTCTTCACATCTCTACTGATATGCTACTTCTCTCTGTGCTGCCGCTGCTTCTCTCTGTGCTACCATTGCTTCTCTCTCTACTTCTGCTATAGCTCTCTCTGCTTCCCTTGCTTCATTTTTGGCTTTCATGTTAGTCATTTGTTGATCCATCTCAGCCAACATTTGTTTTAAACGACTAACTTCTAATTGAGAAGATTGAGACTGTGATGACATGTACTGTGATGAACTGGATCCAAAATATTTGGTGAGAGTAACGAATGATCCTTGACAGCGCACCCGACCATATTTTTCAGGACCCAAAACGTCATTAATAGCTTGGTTGTCAATGTCATCATCATTAACAAGACCTTGACTCGAAGCAGTAGCATGATACTCCGCCCTTTTCTCCCTCAATTTTTCCTAATAATAAAGTGAATAATTAATTCAAGTAAAAAATGTCATGGTACATTTATAAATAAATTCAGGTAAATTTAAAACCCTATCCAATAAATATACTATAATTTCTGTAGCTTCAGCACTCATAGGATTGTCATCCTTCTTTGTACGTGTCATGTTAAAGAGTTGATTCGGCCAACTTTAGAACTAGATGTATTTTCCTACAATGTACCATAATATAATTACTTTGAGTTAGTATTCAAATGGAATACAAATAACTATGTGAATAATCTATAATACTTCCTCATTAGCTATACAAGCAAAGCTCTTCGATCCAGCGGTGTGCGTAAACTTTTGTTGTTGCCTGCTAGCAACACCAACATGTTCTCGGTCCTACAATGTCAAACAACTACTTTTAATGATGATTTATAATTCGTTAAAATTATTTTTGAAAAAAACATCATACATGTCCTTTTTGTGAACTCCAAAATCTAACTGCATCTTCCCATTGGTACCTGAGCATTCCAGGTGGGACTGTTTGTAGTTTCTCTTCAAGGCTGAGATCATTCTTGAAGTATTTCTTCTTTAATGAGCTCTTATGGTCTCTCCATCTCTTCCCTAACGCTTGCTTCACATAATCGTCAGAGACCTCTAAAGAAAATTTCTCCTATACAACAAATAAGTGTGCAACGTAAGTATAAATTAGTATTGAATTGTTATAGAGTATCTATTATAATGACATTATTACCTGAACAAAATCCAACGCCTGATTTTTGTTACTATTAGGCATTTCGCGCCATGACTCATAATTGATCGGTAACAGATTCTCATTACATCCAACTATGCCTAAGTAACTGGATAGAAGACGTGCTTCTGGGCCAATATGTTGACCGGCATCGTTTCTTGAAACTTTGACACGGTGCCCAGGAGGAAGTTGGTATAATTCCTTCAACGTTGTACGTTCTCTACTCTTGCGCGTTCCAGCATTTTCAATTATATAAGAAATTATTAAATGTAAGTTTTGAAAATGAACAAGCTAGTAAATAAAGTTTTGAAGATTACCTTGAATTTCTACAACTTCTTCAACAGTTTCAGGAACTTTGGAAGACTTAGTTGTATTCGATTCCTCGTTATTTCTTTGTTCATGGTCTTCATAAGCTCGAGCAACCTGCAAATCACTTATTTTTCTCCTCGGCATGATATCTGTAATAAACAAACATGTGTAATAAAACACGAATTAATTAATGAATATATTGAAAGACAACATGTTAAAGGTTATAACATTATAAATAAGTAAATTAATATATAAAATCTTACAAAATTCTTATGTAATGTCAGTTGTCATAAATATATTCATCAACGTCCTCCCGAACCCATTGAAATTGTGTTGTATTAGTGATAGTTTCATCAAAGTTTTGTGGTAGTAGAGGTAAACATTCTAATCTTGTTTCAATTTCATCTCTACTTCCATCCCCGGTGTCTATAAAGTCTCTAGGAGTATTACGGAGCATAACATACCAACCGTCATCCATTGGATCGTGACAGTAAAATACTTGTTTCACTTGAGAAGAAAATACATATGGTTCATCCATCAATCATTGACCAATGTTAATTAATTGAGAGAAATTCACCATTGTAAACTCGAATCTATCTCTTTTTATGCCTATGTTTACATCAACCCAGTCACACCGAAACAACACAACCTTTCGTTTTCTATAATAATCTAACTCAATAATGTCCGTAAGAATTCCATAATAATCGACATCTCCCTCCTGCAGATTATTGTCCCTGACACTAGCATAACTTGTAGTTGACGAAGTAACTACGACTCCACAATTGTGTGTCATCCTTAATCTTTCACAAGATTTCGTGTGGAACCTGAACCCATTTATGAGGAAGGCATTATATCTTTTAACTATTCTATTTAGACCTTGAGAAAGACATTTAACATCTTCACTAATTTCTCTCCCACTCCAAACCTATTACACATGAATGGTGAATTAATTTGCATTGATTTTGATATAAAAAGCAAGACAAGTTTTATTTATAAGTATGTGGAATGACTTTGTTGCTTACCATCTGACATAACCATTCATGAAAAGTTTCTATGAATAACTTATGTATTTGTCGATGATTTAATCTTCGGGAGCGTGCACGAGATCTCAAGACTTCTTTAAACTCACTATAAAGTAAATTATGTCATTAAAAATGATAAATATAAAAGATTAAGATATTTCATTAGTATTGGGTCCGAAAGACTTATGTGCGAAAGGGATCTATTGAATCGTGATGGAAAAGAACATATCGGTGTGCTTGTACCCAAGACGTGTCATCTAAACGTGCAATTTCAACTTTCCTTAATGATTGACCATAACTTCCAAACAAATAATGTTGAGGTAAGTCATTAGTACTGAACATATCATTTCAATTTGGTCTATTCCATCTTGATTCAATATCTTCCAAATATCTAGAGCAAAATGTCATACATTCCTCTGCCAAATACCCTTCAGCAATTGATCCTTCTAGATAACTCTTATTACGACAGTAAGACTTCAACTTGCCCAAGAACCTATACACAAAACCACATACTACGTAAATACATTTTATTAAAAGGTATAATCAGTAATCATTTGAAATGTATAATTCAATTAACACATCTCTACAGGGTAATTGGTCCACCAACTCTTGCTTCGTTAGGAAGATGAATTAGCAGATGCACCATAATTGTGAAGAATAAAGGCGGAAATATCTTTCCAAGTTGCATAAAGTCAAGACGACTCGATCTTGTAGTTTATCAAGTTCTTCAACCATCAGAACTTTCCCACAGATGGATTTCATTATATTAGAAAGTTCAATGATACAAGACGTCACCTTACTCGACATGCAACCGCGTACAGCTACTGACAGTAAATCTTGCATTAATATGTGATAATCATGTGACTTTAAAGAATAAAGTCTTCGATATTTAACACTGACACATCGAGAAATGTTTGATGCATACTCATCTGGGACCTTTATATCCTTCAACATCGTGCAAAACACCTTTTTTTCTTTCTTCGAAAGAGAAAAAATAGAAGGCAGCAAGAAATATTTTCCATTAGGATGTAATTGTGGATTAAGATCATGCTAAATTCCCATGTTGACTACGTCAAGTCGACTCTTAAGATTATCTTTAGATTTTCTGTCGTCATTCAAATGGTCCCGATAATATTCTCACAAATATTCTTCTCAATATGGAGTACATCAAGATTATGTCTCAAAATCTGATTCTTCCAATAAGGCAACTCGAAGAATATACTCTTTTTTTCCACAAGTCAATCTCATTTGGATCATCCTCTTCATCAGACTCATCATCAGACTCATCATCACTCTATTGGTCAACTTCAACCTCTTCATTGACCTACTTTGCCTTTTTCTTTGATCGTGTACTACTAGCTTGATTCATCTTTCCATAAGTAAAATTGATATTTTTCAACATTATGAATATTTCAGACCCGCTTGTTTGGTCAGGAGCATTTTGAAACTCTTCATCACTATCACTTCGAACATGTTTGTGCAGCACAACAAGGATAAGCATAACATCCTTTGGTACTCCAACCAGATAATTTGCATACGCATGAAAATCATTAATTGTTCATAATAAAGTCGCGCGTAAATTAAAGTTCTCATTCGTCAACACATCGTATGTTTTGACCCCTTCCCATAACTGTTTCAACTATGCAATTAGCGACTGCATGTAAATATCAATATCATTTCCAGGGATTTTCTCGCCAGGGATTATAATGGATAAGATGAAAGATGATTGTTTCATGCAAATCCAAGGAGGCAAATTGTATGAAACAAGTACAACAATCTAAGTACTATATGAAGTACTCATGATTTTGAATGGATTAAACCCATCAGTTGCAAGACCGAGCCTGACTTTTCGAGGATCTCTCGCAAAACTTGGATACTTGTTTTCAAATGACTTCCAAGCTAAAGAATCTGCAGGATGCCGTAATAATCCATCATCAGTTCTGTCATCATGGTGCCACCTCATAGACTCAGCAGTCTTGGAGGACATAAACAATCTTTGTAGCCTAGGTATGAGAGAAAAATATCGCAGAATCTTGACCAGTTTCTTTCTTGATTGTGCTTGAGCTTCATCCTCAGTAACATTTTCTGCCTCCCTAGTCATCCATCGAGATTTTCATCATACATGACAAGACTCCTGATTTTTTCGATCACCCAAATACAATATACAATCATTCGGACAACTATGAATTTTGTCATATCCAAGACCCAAATTGTTATCATTTTCTTAATATCTTTGCATAATTGAGGGATTTTTGCAAAAGGAAACACTTCTCCTAGTAACTCCAACAATTGCGTAAAAGAGTTACCAGTCCACCCTCCCAAGCATTTTAAGTAGAAAAGACAAATGTAGAAAGAAAGCTTTGAAAACTTTGATCCCTCATAAAGTTGTTCGTTCATTTCATTCAGTAACTTGTAAAACTTTGCCACTTCTTCATTTGGCTCTTCATCACATCAAATTCTTCTCATCTCAATGAAATCATTAACATCATTCTGACAATAATTTTCTATAACATACTACTGATGATTGTGCATATTAAATGCATCTCGTAACATCCCTTCCATGTCATCTTCTCTAAAAGTTGGATGGTGAGAAGGAGCAGGATAAGTCGATAACTCGTGGAAGCAGATCTATTTGATACAAACTCTCTATGAAAGATCCATTTTCTATACCCTCGAACAAATCCAAAAACAACTAGATG